ACCTTATGGACAGTTGTTAGCTGCCATGTAGGTGCTGGGATTTGAACCCAGGTCTTCTGCAAGAACAGCCAGTGTTCTTAACTGCTGAGCCATCTCTCCAGCCCTCTTGAATTCTATTTTTACATTGGTCACATTTAAAGTTATTTCAGCACTAACTTCAGGAGAGAATGAGTTTACTGGACATGTGTTAAGCACCATGTACCTTATGGACAGTTGTTAGCTGCCATGTAGGTGCTGGGATTTGAACCCAGGTCTTCTGCAAGAACAGCCAGTGTTCTTAACTGCTGAGCCATCTCTCCAGCCCTCTTGAATTCTATTTTTACATTGGTCACATTTAAAGTTATTTCAGCACTAACTTCAGGAGAGAATGAGTTTACTGGACATGTGTTAAGCACCATGTAGACTCAAAGGGAAGTCCTAAGACTATGTCTTTAAAGGCTAAGAACAGAATTTTCATGAGATTGGGGAACACATACATTATCAAATCTGCAAGGCCACTACTAAAATGAACTTGTGCCAATTATTTTGAATCTTTGTGTTTCAGAATCCCAGAAGAGAAAGTTACAGATTCAGTGTAGTCCCACCAAAATATATCCATCTGGGAAGAAATTATTATTCAAGTGTAAACTGGTAGCCTTACACAAAAGCAAACACTTAGTCAGATGACTTGTTAAAACAACTTAGCTGAAATCGGTCCTAAACAAAAATCATACTACATTTATATCCAAACCAGTAATGACCAAAACAGCCAAACAGCAAGGATGACCAATGACAGACAGCAACCTCCTGTGCTGATGCTGATGCAACATAATCATACTCTCTTACAGTGTCCAGTTCCTTACTGGTTGCAGCTCTGCACCTTCCTAAAACTCCAACTGAATTGATACTCTTCCCTATTCTTTTCAGTAGCTTATGAGCCCAGTTGCCAATGGCTGCTGGAAGTGCATCACCTGAAAACCAGTGTCACGGGACACCCCACCCTCCCACCATGTGGCCATGTGTGCTGGATAGCTTTAGTGTCAGCTTGACACACCTGTGTTGAGGGAGCCTCAGTTGGGGAAAATTTCCTCCATTGGACCAGCCTGTGGCCGTGTCTGAGGGGCATCTTCTTGATTGTTGAGTGATGTGGGAGAGCCCAGCCCACTGGGGGGGGGGTGGTGCCATTCCTGGGCAGGTGGGCCTGTGTTGCATAAGAAAGCAGGCTGAGCAGGGGCCAGGGGAGCAAGCCGGTAAGCAGTGTTCCTCCATGGCCTGTGCTTTAGCTAGAACCTCCAGATTCCTGCCCTGAGTTCCTACCTTGGGCTCCCTGATGAACTGTGACTCGGGAGATGTAAGATAAATAAACCCTTTCATCCCCAAGTTGGTAGTGGTCAGAGTGTTTTGTCACAGCAGTGGAGAAACAAACCAGGACACCATGTAAAGTTAATTTAGAAATATTCTGAGGCAAGAACTTGAGCAAAAGTAAGCACCCTTTACTAGAGACAAAATGTAAAACTAGTGAACACAGATTTCCACATAATTTGAAAAACATAAAACGAATATGGGAAGTTAAAAACCATTAGTTGTTTTCCTATCTTTTCTAAATCTGCAAAAAGCCTGTAGAATGTTTCTTTAGTGAGAAATCTTTTAAGTTAAAAGGAAATAACATAGTATGATTATCTTTATTGATTTAAGCTAAGTTGCTTCAGCCTTTCGTCTGATTGCTACTTTTGTGTAGAGCTGAGGAAACCACTCAGTCCAGTGGAAAACAACTGTTATAATAATTGGCAAAGAAGAAATTGCTTCAGACCCTAATTCGTATCTAGGAAGAAGTCTAGAAAGTCATCATTATAGAAAATATATGACTCAATCTGCTGGAGGTTCTTTCAAGAGTCTAAAATAAAATGTAACACTTTAACTTCACAGTAAAACTAGATAGTATAATCTTTCTGCAGCATCTAAACAATGGAATATTATTCAGTCATAAAAAAGCAAGAGTTATCAACACATACTATCATACAGAAGAACCTTGGAAACATAAAGAAAAAGAAGCCAGACACAAAAGGCCACATACTGTATAACTTATGTGAATATGTAGAGCAGGAAAATCCATGGAAGGCAGAGTCATGGTTGCCAGAGGCTCGAAGGAGAAGCCAGTGAAAGGTGATTGCTAATGAGACAGACTTCTTTAGGAAATGAAAATGCTCTATAATCAGAGAAGGGGGATGGTTGCATGACTTTGTGAACATAGTAAAAAACACTGAATTGTATACTTCAAGAAGGTAAATATGTTCTATGACATATCTCAATTTTAAAATAGAAGTGTGTGTGTGTGTGTGTGTGTGTGTGTGTGTGTGTGTAGGCAAGAATGGGGCACTAGAGCCAACAGAACTGGAGTTACAGGTGGTTGTGAGCTGCCTGATGTGGGTGCTGGGAACTAAAGTCAGGTCCTCTGGAAATACAGCAAGTAATCTTAACCATGAGTCATCTCTCCAGCCCTGAAGTAATTTTTCAAAAGGGAGAGAACAGGCTTGGCACAAAATGAAATTGTTCTAAGAGCCCAAGAAAGGCTATAATTTTGTATTTATTCCTTGGCAAAGATAAAAAGGGAATAAAAAAAAAATCACAGAAAAAAATACCCAGTAATTATATCCTTGTGAGCCTGAACAACTTATTTAGAGGTTTTAATGGGCTGGTGAGATGGATCAGCAGGTAAGGCACTGCCTCCCAAGTGCTGGGATTAGAGGTATACACCAACATATCTAGTCTCATTTTTGCTGGTTTTTTTTTTTTTTTCCTCCAGATTGTTTAAAAAAAAATCGTTTGCTGAGGTGCAAGTCAGCACGGAATACAGGAGACCTGTTTCAGAAAACAAACTTTGCTGGTTTGCTTCAGTTGTCAGTTTGATACGCCTGGGATGAGGACTTGCTTCCATTGGACTGGTCTGCCCATGCCTGTGAGGCAGTTTCTTGATTGCTGATGGATGTAGGAGGCTCAGCCCACTATGGGTGACGCCATCTCCAGGCAGGTGGATCTGGGCTGTAAGATGTGTTCCTGGATGGATCCTGCTTCAGCTCCTGTCTTCTTTCCTGCCCTGACTTCCCTCAGTGATGAACCTGGGAAATGTAAGATGGAACAAACCTTTTCTTCCCCAAGTTGGTTTTGGCTAGTGTTTAACACAGCATCAGAAACCTAACTAGAATAGAAATTGGCACCAGGATCATGGAGGTATTGCTGTGAAGGACATGACCGTGCTCTTTTGGGAGGATTGTGGAAGCATTTGGGACTTTGAGCCGAAAAAAGTTGTTGAATGCTCATAACTGTTCAGTGGGAGCTTAGAGAAATGCAGCTGTCAGAGGCCCGGCTTGTGAAGTTTCAGGGGGAAATCTGAGAGTCCCACAAAGACTCTATCATGTGATATTTAAATTTGTAAAGGTCAAACCTTTTGTGTTTTACTGAGACAACTGATGCTAGTTAGATGGAGCTGAAAAGTCAACTGCAATTAATAAGAGACCAGTATCATTGAGGTGAAATCTTTTGGGTAGTGTTTCCTCAGGGTCAGCAAATGGACACTGTGGTCCAGAGGGGGCCACAGCTGCATCTCAAGCTAGAAGTCCAACTTGGCAATGTGTAAGAGTCTTACTGGTTTTAGTTATATGAAAGTTGCAGAATTTAAAGGGTTATGGAGGAATACTGAGGCTTTGTACCCTGAGAAGTCATTGGTGAAGGTGCAGCCTCAGTTGTAGTGAGACCCCAGTATATTGGAGATGCCAGGACTCTAGGATGACCGTCAAGGACAGTTGCAGATGTGGAGTGGAGCCAGCCTGAGCCTATGAAGCAAACTCTTTGTGCTGTGTATGGCAGAGCCAGAGAAGTAGAGCTGCCCAAGCCCTTTGGAGCCCAGAATAGAGTGAGTGACTCAGATGTCAGATTTTGAGCTATATTGCTGGACTTTGGTATTGCTTAAATGTACTTGCTTATTCCCTTTTGAAATAAAGTATTTTCTTTGTTTCAGATTTTATAGGAGTGCATAGTTGAGAGACTTGAATTTTTAAAGAGAATTTGAACTTTTTTTTTTTTTTTTTTTTTTTTTCAGTCTTTCTGAGACAGGGTCTCCCTGTAGCCCCAGCTGGCCTGGAACTTACTGTGTACACCAGGCTGGCCTTAAACTCACAAAGATCTGCCTGCTTCTGCCTCTGCCTCCTGAGTGCTAGGATTAAAGGTGTGCAATACCACACCCGACTGAGAACATGAACTTTTTAAGAAATTAATTTAATTTTATGTATGTTTAGCCTACATGTAAGTACACCTGTGCATACAGTGCCCATGGAGGCCAGAAATGGGTGTCAGCTTCCCTGGACTTGGAGATGGTTGTTAGCTACCATGTGGATGCTGGGAATAGAACCCAGGTCCTCTGGAAAAGCATCCAGTGCTCTTTTTAAAAAATAATTTATTGAGAATTTCATATATGCATTTAAGGTGTTTTGATCAAATCCATGCTTACTATCTCCCTGCCAACTCCTCCCATATCTCCCCATCACTTTTTTCTGACAAATTCATGAACTCTTTTTTTTTTTTTAAATGGGGCTTTTTGCTACTCTATCATCCCCCCCTCTGAAGAGGTAACCCTAAAATCTTTTAAGGATTAGATAAGAGCTCCCAAATACTTTCAACATTTTTGGCCTTTGGAATGGAGTATGTTGCTTAGAGGCCCAAGGACATTTTGACTTTTAGCTAAGAAACTGGCTACTTTTCTTTGGGGTCTTTTTTACCCTAACTGCCTAGCGAATTCCTACCTCCTTATCACACTATCCTCTGAAAAGGTTACCCAACTTGCAGATAGGGAATCTGGACGCAGACCACTCTGAGCAGCCAGTGCTCTTAACCACTGAGCCATCTCTCCAGCCCGGAGAACTTGAACTTTCAAATTACTGGAATTTTTAAAAGACCGTGGGACTTTAAAGTTGTACTGTGCTTTATTTTGTAATATTAATATTAACATGAGATCTTGGGCCAAACATGAATGAAAAGGTTATGGTTTATGTATGTATGGTTATGGTATGTTTGTATGTCAGTTTGACAAAGGATCAATTGTGCTGGTTTGCATCAGTTGTTGACTTGACACACCCAGGAAGAGGACTTGCCTGGATCAGATTGGCCTGCCCATGTCTGTGAGGCATTTTCTTGATTGCTGTTGGATGTGGGAAGGCTCAGCCCATTGTGGGTGGTGCCATCCTTGGGCAGGTGGGCCTGGGCTGTATAAGAAAGGTAGAGAAACAAGCCAGTAAGCAGCATCCTCCATGGTCTCTGCCTCAGTTGCTGCCTCCAGGTTCCTGCCCTGAGTTCCCTCAGTGATGGGCTGTCACTTAGCAGAGCGTCCCGCCCCGCAGGAACTGCAACGGGGTACCTGGATTGGGGAGTGGGGATGTGGATGGGGCAAGGGGCAAGAGAAATGGAGACAAGACAGTGCTCTGATCAAGTCTCGTTTATTGAAGCACAAGCATACAGTTAAATAAGGAATAAGAACAAGGAAGTACAGACTGGACTGAATCATACCAGCCAGACAGCAAAGACCCAGGTGCACTCCAAGGGGGGGATCCACTGAGAGCAAGGCAGTTACTGGAAAAGAAAACAAGACCGCAGGCGAAGGCCGCGGGCTCCATCCTGTGCCTGCGAGAGTCTACTGATCAACAGAAAACAGGGCTATTTACAATAACTAGAGCAAGGCCGTGGGCTACCAACCCCGGCTATGAGCCAAGGTTGTGGGCACTTTCCCATGCCCGCAGGAGGAGGGTGGGCAGAATGGAAAGTCACCAACTCAGGTCTATCAGCAGTTGTGAAGAAGTGGCTGAGACTCAGTTTCCCAATATACTGAGACGGCTCCCAACAGCAGAGTAAGATGCAATAAGCCCTTTCCTTCCCAAGTCGGTTTTATCAGTGGTTTATCACAGCAATAGAAAGCAAACTAGAACACACAAAGCAATCAAAACAAAATTATTTTCAATCTTTCTTAGGCCCTTCTTTTAGCCATTTTATTAAGTTTTAGCACTTAAACTCACTTGAGCTTTGAAGAAATTTTTATTTGGAATAAAAACATACTGTTTCCAGACCGTACCAGAAAACTGTATTCTAGCTGTCTATGCTTGCCTGAATGAAAGTCAGCTTCTCTGGGTTTTCTTTTCCTCATTCTCTGAATTTTAATCTCTGGTTTTAGTCTTTGAGTTCTGTGAACTAAGCACATTCCTTTAAAACCGCAGGCATCTACTTCTCACTGGACTTGTGACAATCACAACATTGGCATGCAGGTAATAAAGAACTCAATTCACTTTCCCCCTCACACCTTTTACCTCAGGGAACCCCATTTTGGTGGAAAAGGAATAAAGATCGTTTCTGCTAGCAGAACCACATCTGAGTGTTCGCCAGCACTCTATAGCCATCCAGCTCTCCTCTATGCTCACCAGCTCTAACCACTGAGGCATAGTGCAACTCTGTGTTCTGGAAGATGGTATAGTTCCAAGGAAAGCACTGGCAGAGACACTGGAGCAGAGACACTCCCTTTCTTCAGAATATCCCCCTCAGGAGAGTCTGCTCTGTGCCTAATGAACTTACAGACTAATTAAGAACACACCAAACACCATTTTAAGCGAGTAATAAATATTTAACAAAACTGAATCTGTAGCACTTTGAAAAAAGTTAGAAAAGGTTTCAAATTGCTTTGCTTTTTTCTATGCATACAATACCATAAATAACTGAATTATAACTCCACGTAAGAGAATAAAGAGGAAAAAACAGTTTTCTGTTGTTTCTTCTTTTAGCTCCATGACAGACTGTCCTAGGACAGAGGAAATGAAAGAGGAGTTCTTTACACTAAAAAATAGTGATTTAAGCTAAGGTACAAGAAAAGAACATAAGCTCTCAGTCCAATAGCCATGTAGTTAGAAATATTTATAATGACTACAAACTATAATTTACACTAAAATTATACAAATAATTCATCTTACAAAAAGTTGCTTGGGGGGCTGGAGATGACTTGGCAGTTTTGCGTGCAGACTGCTCTTGCAAATGATCTAAGTTCAGTTTCCAGCACCCACACTGAGCGGCCCACAATAGCCTGTAACTCCAGTTTAGGGGGATCTGATGCCTCCAGCTTCTGTGGACACCTGCATTTATGTGCACATACCCCCACCCCATACACATAATTAAGAATAATGAAATCTTTTTAAAAGTTCCTTGGACTTAGAATGTCAACAATCTGAGTAAAATTAATTTTAGAGTGCATTAATGTAGGCGTTTGTATTCCTGATGTTCCTTTCTACTGTAAGTCCACTAAGAAAATAAAATTAGTTTTCCTATAGATTCCCATTATAGTTCATGTCCTTTGGTAAAAACAAACTATAAAATCAAAGCAAGTTGTGATATAGACCTGGTGATACAGAACCAGTACTCTGGAGGCTGAAGCAGGACGATGAAGAGTTTGAGACCAACTTAGGCTACAGAGTGAGATACTGTCTCAGAAAACCAGAAAAGGAGAGCTGGAGAGATGACTCAGTAGTTAAAAGCATGAACTGCTCTTTCAGAGGACTCAAGTTTGGTTCCCAACACCCATGTGTGGCAGTTCACAACTTGTAACTCCAACTCCATGAAGCTTCAATTTTCTGGCCTCTGCAGGTACCTGCACGCACAAGTACATATCTGCCTCACCCGTAATTAAACAATTAAAAATAAATTTAAAAATTCAGATAAATCAGTCATCAAATATCAGAATCATTAAATATATATCTTTGTTTTTGTTTTTGAGACAGGGTCTCACTATGTAGCTCTGGCTGGCCTGGAATTTGCTATGTAGAAAAGACTGAGTTCCCCTGCCTCTGCCTCCCAAGTGCTGGGATCAGAGGCGTGAGCCACAACTTCCGACTCTATACATCAGTGCTAAAAAGTGTATCATTGTCTTTTCATCTCTACAGTATATCTTGCAAAACTGGAAAATAATGGGCTTATTCAGCTTTTCATATCTATTGATCGGCTGATCAGTTGACACACACACACACATGCGCACACTATTAGCTACTTTTCTGCTGCTGTAATAAACACCATGACCAAGGAAACTTATGGGGGAAGAGTTTATTTTGGTCTACAATTCCAGAGGTTAAGAGTCCATCATGGTGGGGAGCTACGGCAACAAGCAGCAAGCATGAAGGGGCTGAAAGCTCAAAGGATCACACCTTCAAACATGAAGCAGAGGGCAAATTGGAACTAGGACAAGGCTACACACCCTCTAAGCCCACCCCTAGTGACACACTTCTTCAGCAAGGCCACACCCTCTAAAGATTCCATGACCTTTAAACAGCGCTACTAACTGGGGACCCAATGTTCAAATACTTGAGCCTAGGGGGGACATTTCTCATTTAAACCACCCCCCCACCTATCCCACACACTCTGATCCTATTTTTCCTTTGTTTAGACATTATAAATCTCCCCCCAAGATTATGAAAGTCGTTCAAAGTCATTATGGTAATTAAGGTAAAAAATATATATATAATCTTACCATTTGGAAATACTCAGTTAGCATTTTCTGTTGCTTAGCATATATTGGAATAGCGGGACCTTTAGACTCCCCAACTATTTCAATAATGGAGAAGATTAAGTCACTATTAAAAGCCTGGTACTGTGCTAAATATTCTATATACATAGTTCCACTTAGTCCTTACAAAGGAACATAGTAGGTGATCCTAAATTCTTTACTATTTGTGTGTGTGTGTGTGTGTGTGTGTGTGTGTGTGTATACACATGTGCATGTGAGTGCATAGCTATGCAACTGTGTGGAGGTCCAATGTCGACAGAAAGTGTCCTTCTCCAACTGCTCTTCACCTTTATTTTTGAGACAGTCTCTCCATAAACCTGAAGTCATTGATTCAGCTAAGCTGGCCAGCCAATGAACTTAAGAAATCTACCTCAGTCTGTGTGAGTTCAAGGCCAGCCTGGTCTCTATATTGAGTTCCAGATCAGCCAAGGCACCATAGTGAGACCATGTCTCAAAAAAACCAAAACCAAACTCCAAAAACACAAGTGGAGAGCAGCTGAGGAAGGCACTTGGCATCAACCTCTGTCCTCCATGTGCTTGCTCATCTGCATATACATGTGTACAAACGTGAGCATTCATACGCACACAGAGGACACACTGAGAAGACCGTGCACCATTCTCAAGTTGGTTTTGGCTGGGCGTGGTGGTGCACACCTTTAGTCCCAGCACTTGGGAGGCAGAGGCAGGCGGATTTCTGTGAGTTCAAGGCCAGCCTGGTCTACATAGTGAGTTCCAGGACAGCTGGGGCTACAGGGAGACCCTGTCTCAAAAAGACCAAAAAAAAAAAAAAGGTTGGTTTCATACCAGGGTTGCAAAGATGGTTCAACCTACAGAAATCAATAAATGTAATGCAGCACATAAATAGACTTATGGACAGAAATCACTTGCTCATCTAAATAGCTGACCTTTTGACAAAGTTAGCGTCCCTTCATGATAAAGCCCTGAAGAAAGAATGGATGAAGAACACACACTACACTCACACAATGTGATTTTATTCACCTGTACAGAAAAAAGAAATTAGGACATTTGCAGGAAAACAGATGCAACTAGAGATCATGTTAAACAAAATAACGTAGGTAAATGCCCTATTTTCCTTCATAAGCAGAATCTAGATTTAAATTTATATATGTGTTATATACATATGTGGACTTCAGTCATACAAGTAGAAAGAGGACCGTGAGATCTTGAGGGGGGACAAAGAGAAGGTAATGAAATACTGTGATGGGAAAGCTGAAGGAGGGAAATATTTAAGGGAGGAAGGAGGCCAGCAAAGGCGAAGCTGGGGACAGGGGACAAAGGTGGTCGGGGGGAGTGAGAAGAAACAATGTGTGTATTTCAAACAATGTACGAAAATGCCATAAAACCCCTTGCTTTATATGCTAATTAAAAAATAATGAAAAATGACCAAGTGCTCCATAAAACAGTGGAACATTACAGCAGAAAATAGATGTTCATTTGATGGCCTGCTCTAAAAGGAGAGCTTCGGAGTCTAAAATGTGGGGAGACTACTCATCTTTGCCCCCAAGAGAAGGTAAATCATAGAATCAATGAAGAACAAAGAAGAAAGGTCAGGGCAGTTTCCTTTCTTCAAAGTAGCCCATGCTGGCTGGCTGGTTTTGTTTGGGAGAGAGGGAGAGAGAGAGAGAGAGGGAGGGAGGGAGGAAGGAAAGAAAGAAGGAAGGAGAGAAATTATATAAATTATCTTAAGAAAGACATGGACA